GAAGTCAGTTTTAGAACAGAAAATGAGTTTGGATTGTTATTTACGAAAACCATGGAGATTCTTGAGATTCACGTTGTTGTCGTCTAGGATATGTTGCTTGTATTGTATATACGTATATAATAAATTTGGTTAGTCCTCATTAGCGGATTTATTGTTCTTTTTTTTTTTTTTTCGCTCAACAATCATACATTAATTATTTAGCATTGCATTCTTATTTTTATTTCACAACGATGAATATATGTATCTATTGACACAAAGAATTAAATTTTATCAATAACCATCATAAGTTTTAAAATGTTTTTTTTTTTTCATAAAAATCTCTTTGGAAAAAAAAACCGAGACATAATGCATGAAGCCTCATAGACAAATTTGTTAGAGCATGAACAAATTGTTAACTTATGAACAAATTGTTATGAAATTGTTAAATTGTTAAATCATAAAATTGTTGAATTGCTAACTCAACATGCTCTAGGTTAATTCTTGAAAACAATACTTTACTTATTAAAAAAAAAACACTACATTATATTTTAATTAAAATAAAAAAATCTTTAAAAAATAATTTGGCATTATAATTTTTTATTATTCTTATTCGGTTGATCGATCGACTTCAATTTACAATGAATGAACAGGCGTGGAGAATTTTTTGGTGGTGACAAGAGTGACGGAGAAAATTCGTATGCTCATTGTCATGGAAAGTCAATGAGAAAAAATAAGACAATAGATCAATTAAAAAAACCATCCATTATGGGTTAAGGTTGAACTAGTCCAAATAAGTTATATTGTTTTGGATCATGATCAATGAGATAAATGAATAAGGATAAATACTGTAGATAATAATAGTGTGTGATGGTGATTATGATAAGGATAATCAAACGACGACAAAATTAGCATACAGAGTTAAGCGAACCCGACGTTTCTCTTAACCCCATTTCCACTGGTTTGGCGAAATCTGGGATTTCGTAACAATTCAAAGAGAGAAATCATTGCTTTATTGGATTAACTGATAGACAGTATGGTGGATTGATGGATTTGTAATAATAAAGTACTATAACTATAAATATCAACTACAATATCTCCGGATCACATGCAGCATGTATAATACAGTATATTGTACACAATTACCAGTAAGGTTTGTTATTACGAATATAAATAAATGAAAAATAAAAATAACCTTAAGAGAAGTATAAGCATGCGAAGGCAACGTAATGCAGACACGGCAGGATCATTAATTCCAAATAAGTGATTATTCATCAAAAACCGTATCAGCTATTATAAAAATAGATTAATATACTCGATTTCATCAGGGAGCTCCGAAAATCAAAATTCCTTATCGAATGAAGCAAAGCAATTATCATTATCATCGTGTATTTGGAAAAAAAAAATGTCGGAAGGTGTTTAATGATTTTAAAGAAATCGGTCGTGGAATTCCACTAACAAATATTTTCAAAGTAATTATCAAATAAGGGAAATTTTTCGCTCTTTGCGACAATGTCACAATGACATGAAATCGATACTGGGACTAATAATTTCGATAAAAGAAGAAACCATATACGAAATGTTTTGGATTTGTCATGTGAACGTGGAATACGTGCCTCGTAAGGATGGATGTAATATAATTTGTGCATAGGAAAGTGTTGTAACATTGACGTTTGTTGATTGGTTTCGATTTTGGAATTCTCTAATCTGCAAAAGGATCGCCTGCAAACAATGATGCAATTTATCCTCGCCGAATTCTCATTGGATATTGGGTGTCCTGGTGACAGATCGTTTTTAAGTAAGGATTAACTCCGACTTTTTTTTGATGATGATGCTTGACTGCGTAGATATTTTTGAAACTTATTTTATTAGTTAATTTAGAAAAGACGGTATGCATCGATCACATGAATAGATTGTAAATCGATGGTTTAATAAGAATGTTCCATTTTTTTAAACGAAGGTGACCAAAGATGTTTGTTTCTCTGGGAACGGCTCCTCCACGCGGCTCGGTGATGACGAAAAGTTACAGTCGAAAATTCCGAAATTTGATCGACCCGGTGTAATCATGATCCCACAAATGAGGGTAATGCTCGTTCATTCGGGTAACGTTGCAAGATCTGAACCTGAAACATTTAAATTATATTGTTGTTTTACAAAAAGCGTGTATCCGGAAAATTTATTACTCACGAGAGGTATCAGTAAGAGCATGAAAATGGAATCTTGAAACTGGAAATGAAAATCATTTTTTTATGAAAAAAAAAAAAAACTGCAGTCTCTGGTAACGAAATAATGGGGACAATTAAATTCGTTTCTTTTATTTCCCACATTGGCCAACGGTGTAACAGTTAATCTAGCATGTCATGAGAATGCCATGGAACGCTCTAATTCGTCTTTTTATTTTGTTTGTATATA